AAATAAATAAATAATCTAAAAAAAAAAAAGACAGGGGGGCTGGCTAGGTCTGTGGAGATCTCCCCGAATGGTTCTCAGAAACGATGCTGAGTGAAACATGAACGAGGTGCATGTGATGCCATTCATGGAAAAGTTTTAAAATACACATAACATAGCATCTATTTGCCTGGTTGTGCAGGTGCACATGTCCACAGTGGAAAAGGGGAAAGTGGAGATGGAGCATTACACCCGGAGTTTAAGGCTGTTGCAGCCAGGATGTTTTGGGGGCTGTAGATACGGATGCTTGGGAACAGGGATCTAATTTCCATTCGTTTTTAAAAAATGGATCGAATATCACAAAAACGGTAACAAATGGCAATTCTGGGTTTGAGGATATGTGCACCTTCAAACTCCAGGCTAATAATGAGAAAAACATCAAACAAATCCCAGCTAAAAGACACTATGAAAGGTCTGGCCAGTACTCCTCAGCGCAGACAGGCTCGTAAAACACAAGGAAAGTCTGAGAAACTGTGGTAGGCAAGAGGGGCCTAAGGAGACATGATGGCTGAATGTGCTGTCATGGATCTGATCCTCCAGCAGAAGAAGGATGATGGGACCTAACTAAGGAAATCTGGATAAAGTATGGATTTTGTTAACAGTAACGATCAATAGTGATCCATTCATTGTGACAAATGCACCGTACTTGTGGGAGCTATTCAGAATAGTGAACTGGGCGCAGGGCATCTGAGAACTTTCTGACCATCTTCACAACTTTTGTTTAAATCTAAAATTACTCAAAAATGAATAAAGCTTATTTAAACAGAACAGGTACAGAATCATTCCAATTTTGTGTGAGCATGTGAGTGAGTGTGTGTGTGTAAAAAACAGAAAGACAAGCAAAATATTTAGCAGAAATAGCAGACAATGGTTAGGTCTGGATGGTGAGACTGTGGGTGGCTTTCACTTTCTCTTTTGTTCTTTTTATTTTTTTTTAAGATTTTATTTATTTATTTGACAGAAAGAGCGAGCGAGCACAAGCAGGGGGAGCGGCAGAGGGAGAGGGAGAAGCAGACTCCCTGCCGAGCAAGGAGCCCGATGCGGGGCTGGATCCCAGGACCCCGGGATCATGACCTGAGCTGAAGGCAGATGTTTATATTGCAGGCGTGATATATGGACACACGCCAGACATCAGGCTCATCGTCAAGACCTGACATTGCTCTTCTCCGCAGTCGGGAATTATTGGGCCCATCCTCCTAACACCTGTTTCCTAGATTTGCCCGAGGTGTTTGCTGCAAGTGCAAAGTCTGAGCTCTCTGCTAGGAATTTCCGGGAAAGAAGCTTGAGAGTTTATTTTTTAACAAGCCTCCAGGTGATTATTTTGTATGTGTGTGGTGGCTGTTCAGATAAGTTTAGGAAAGAGACTCTGCTAATTCTCTCTCAAACTGTAAGACTCAGCACCAGCTCCACTGACAAGCTTTCTCTACCCATCTCTCAGGTGCTTACGAGACTTACGAGCTCCCCTCTCTCTGAACTCACCGTACCACGTACAGAGCTCCATTCTTGCTCGGCTGGCAAAGTATTGCTGTTAGTTGTGGACACATTGAGTCTCTGGCTGTTCTGCATATTTTTTTATCTCAGTGAAAGCATACGGTAGGCTCTCAATATGTGTCATTTGGATAAATATATGGAAGGATAAGTAGATGGATGGGCTGCTTTTGAATTGGGCAGGTCTGAGAATTTCACTAGCACCTGCCATTAGGCCCTGGTATCCCTGGTTGCTTTGCAATGGGTGGGATCAGCCTCTTCTATCACCCTGTGCAGTGAAGCTTGGTAATATTCATTTCATTCCATTCTATATCGCTTTAGATTTGGATAATGGTCAGAGAAACGGGAAATGTAAATGTGTTTCTGCGTATCTGGGAAATTATCCAAACCCAAACTCGCTTACATGGGGGTGGGCTAGTCCGCGCTTAGAACCATGCTATTCAATATGGCAGCTTCTGGCCAGCTACGGCTTTGAAATTTATATGTAAAGTAATTAAAACAAAGTGGAATTTAAAACTTCAGTTCCTCGGTCACATATTTTCTAGTGCCCAAATGTCACTGTGGTGCAGCTGCTGTGTTGGAAGGGGCAGGTATAAAACATTCCCAGGATCACAGAAAGTTCTAGAGGAGAATGCTGACAGAATATTCCTCTTTATCCTTCAAAATCCATATCGGAGGCCTTTCATCATCCCTCCAAGCAAAGTTCTGCTGGGTTCACAGTGCCAGGCATGTCCTTGGCACTGGGAATTCTTCTCAACTGGGGCACTTTTGCTGCCCAGGGGAGATCTGGCCGTGCCCAGAGACACTTTTGGTTGTCATAACTGGTGCATGTTGTATGTGCATGTGTGCGTGTGTGTGCGTGTGCGTGCGTGCGTGCGTGCGTGTGTGTGTGTGAGATATTGGCATGTAGTGCACAGAGGCCAGGGATGATGTTAAACATTCTGCAAGGCACAAGACAGCTCCTCTCCCATCAAAAATGTATCTGGTGCAAAATGTGAATGGTGCCGAAGTTGGGCTTAAAGCCTTGTTGGGGGGAAAGACCCAGGAGCAGACAATGCCAAGTAATGAGAAAAGGGAAGAGAGAGGGGAGGTGTCCAGAAGTGGGGTCAGGACGATTCCAGAGCTGCGTCTGGGAGGAGCTAGAGGGTTAGTCAATCCTTCTTCCAGGATCGCATAACACTTGGCATGTTCCTCTGAACGGCACCTAACCCTGCACTGTATTTTGGCCATTGGTTTACGCATACTTCTTGCTGTCCCACTGAGCATTCTTCAAGAGCAGACCCCGGGTCTCATCCTCGGATGTGTACCCGTGGTTCTGGTCAGTGACTGGGCCGTGGAGTAGAAACACGGGACAGTTTGCATAGGTGACCAGCTGGTAGGTGCAGGTGGCCTCCCACACCTGTCCCCAGGCACGAGTGCGTCTTGCTGAGTCCTCGCCCAAATCATGGCGCTGCCTGTGAAGGCATTTTCTAAAACAAGGTGTGGCGCACTCTGTTGAGGCAAAGCTGTCTTCAGAGCTTAAGTTTGCAGAAAGAACCCTGTCCTCAGGCAGTTGTTCCTGAGAGACGAGGTGGGGGATTTAGTTCACAGACTTCAGTGGCTTAAAATGCTATGCATTTCTGCCTCCCTGACAGCATCAGTTCATCATGCAGTATCTTGTCAAGTCAGAACAACCAAGCCAAAAACAGCGATTCCATCTCATGGTGCAATCCGTCTGGAGCCAGGGGACAAGGGGACCGCGACGCCAAGGAGAAGAGAAGGCAAGCCTTCACTTAAGGTAGCCCTTTTGCATTTGATACGCTTTCCTGTTAATCTCCAGTACTTTGTGTAGGGAAGAAAATCCCCTAAGTGAGCAAATACAGCCTTGCCGTTGGTTGGTCTTTTCCTTTTCTTTGAGGATGATGTACCTGTTAGGCTGATTCAGATATTTATAAAAGCTCATCCCGAGCTAGTGAGAGTTCGGTTACAAATCACATTTTATGCAGTAAGTTGGCATCCAGAATAAACCTACGGGCTCACAAATCATGAAGGAAAAGAGAAACAATTCAACAAAGGGTAGGCAAAGGATAGAGAGAGGCAATCCACAGAAGGGGAAACCCAAATGGCCAATAAATATCTGGAAGAGATGCTTGCCTTCATTAGAGATCCGGAAAATGCCAACTGAAACAATAGTACGATACCACTTCACACTCATTCTGTTGGAAAAAATTTAAAAATCGGAAACACTGACAGTTGGTGAGGATAAGAAATAGTAACTCCTATATTTTGCTGGTAAAAATATAAATTAGTACAACCATCCTGGAGAATAATTGGGCAATTTCTAGTAAAGTTGAGAATATTCAAACCCTTTGAGCCAGGGAGCAAGGTGCTCATCGCAGCACTGTTTGAATAGTGAATGTTTTGTTTTGTTTTGTTTTTTAAAGATTTTGTTTATTTATTTATTTGAGACAGAGAGACAGAGATAGCGAGAGAGAGCACAAGCAGGGGGAGTGGGAGAGGAAGAAGCAGGCTTCCCGCTGAGCAGGGAGCCCGATGCGGGGCTCGATCCCAGGATTCCAGGATCATGACCTGAGCTGAAGGCAGTCGCTTAACCAACTGAGCCACCCAGGCGCCCCTATATATATATTTTTTAAGATTTTATTTATTTGACAGAGACACAGCGAGAGAGGGAACACAAGCAGGGGGAGTGGGAGAGGAAGAAGCAGGCTTCCCTCTGAGCAGGGAGCCCGATGCGGGGCTCGATCCCAGGACTCGATCCCAGGACCCTGGGATCATGACCTGAGCCGAAGGCAGACGCTTAACGACTGAGCCGCCCAGGCGCCCCTACAATAATATATTTTTAAAATAAAATGCTTAAAGTGAGATTTCCCCATAATCTTTGCATCCCAGAGGTTCCTTTGAGAATGATGGCCAGTATTTGGATTTGGTTTTACCAAATCCTGACTTTAATCCTTGGTCATTCAACATTTGGCCCAAATGTACATTTGGTCCATCCATCCGTCCTCCCAGGCGTGTGTCCTGCAGGACTCAGGAATGACGATTGAGGAGTAAGACGAACTTGTGGGTCTCTTGCTATTCAGAAATTGAGAGGAAGGGTGAAGGTGAAATAGGGCGACTATTGCTAATGGAAAAAAGGAAATCTTGTCTCCATGGAAAATTCTGGAAAATCTTCCTTTAGAAGTGCTAGTTGGAGCTCATTGCCTTACTAACCATTCCCCCCTGTCCTGTCCAAGTGATATAAACCAGCCAGGTGAGTGGACATGCCATACTTCTGCCACAAATAAGAACAATCTCTAATTTTGAAAACTGTGTATCTCAGGGCAGGGGGAGTTGAGGTTGGGGGTAATTTTGACTTTCTTCATTTTTGCAGTGTTTTTCTAATGAGTGAATTTATTTCTCTAGAAATTACCAAGAAAGATGAATAGAAAGCTGCAAGCTTGGTTTTGGTTCTCTGCATCTCACTTTTTGCCTTTCTGGTTCCAAGAGTCAAACTGTCGGTGATTGTGGTCAGGAAGAAGTGCGCACCGCGGTTCTTCACCGAAGTGAGCCGGTCGGTGCAGAACCCGCCACTCGGCACCGTGGTGGACTCAGAAGCCACGCGCCCTGAATGGCAAGTGCTATTCGAAAGCCGGTTTTCAGTGAAACGTTCGCTGCGCGTTCTCCGCGTCAGGCCTCTTTCTCACATTCCTGCCGGTTTTCCCCCAGGTACGACTTCTACTTGATCAGTCAGGCTGCCAGCCGGGGAACGGTTACTCCCACCCACTATAACGTCATCTACGACGACAACGGCTTGAAGCCCGACCACATGCAGAGACTCACCTTCAAACTGTGCCACGTGTACTACAACTGGCCGGTGAGTGACGCTGTGGGACACGGACGCTCAGTGCTTCCGCCCGGCGAAGTCACCCAGCTCCCCCAGCACAGCGCCTGACTTCACGAGGGAGGAATGCATGCATGCATGCAGGAGTGAATGAATGAATGAGTTCTGAGTCCACAGTGGGAGAAACCCGGTCTGTCATAGAAACGAAGCAGCAATAACTGTTAACATTATTATTACTTAGAACATTAGTATTTATTTCCAGGGGACTTTATTCTATGCATTCTCGTATGCGAGCCGGGGAGGAACTCGGGGTATTGTTATTTCCAAGTTGCAGTTGAAGAAATTGAAGCCGTGTCTGGTGGGAACGTGAGGACGCGTCTGTTCTGTGTTTCCGTGCATGAAGCCCAGGGCTGCTCTCAAAGTCCAAGGCCAAGGTTTGCTCTGAGCCCCTTGGAGCCTCAAGTCACAGGAAACGTAGATTAGCGCTAAGTGTGATGGCTCCCGGCTCCCAGCTCATCAGAGCCCAACTGGCCCTCCGCCCTGTCTCGCCCGCTGAGCCTGTACTCCCCGTGATGCGGTGGCCCTTTGTCGGCCGAGTTTAGTACGTCTACCCGCGAATGCCTTCGACTGTGTCTGGGATTAGCAGAGGATAAAACTCAGGAACATAGATTATTTTGAAGAACAGGTTAACCTCTTAATTGCTGTCAATACGTTTTCTCCTCAGGGCTTAATCAGCATCCCAGCCCCGTGTCAGTACGCGCACAAGCTGACCCTCCTGGTGGCACAGAGCATTCACAAAGAACCGAGTCTGGAATTAGCCAACTCTCTCTTCTACCTGTGACGACGGGAACCACGGGCGTCCCTAGATGAGCAGTCTGAGGAGTAGTGGGTGGGTTTTGTACAAACCTGCCACAAATGCGAGCCTGTGACCAGGGAAAGGAGACTGAGCTTACTCGTAACTTTTGGAAAAACACCCAACACAGCTTAATCTGAAATGGTTCAAAAGAAATGTGTAGTGTTTTGTTTTAAAGAGTTTTCTGCTCACGGTAAATTCTCATGCTGGTAGATGGAACTAAAAGGTACCATCATCTGTAAGTAATTCCACAAAGCTGAATATCCTCTAAGAAAATAAGTGTTTGCAAGATGTTTTTGATGGTAAAGAAATGGGGTCTAATTCCCACTCTAAATTTTGCGGGAGTTTTGTTAAATAATGTAGAATGTTTTGTAGAGTGGTTCAAATAGTTATTAGAAAATAAAGAAAATTCAGAGCATCGTGTTTACTGTTGTTTGGATTTCAGTTGAAGTTACATGCAAACCTCATGATTGGTTTTCAGCACAGACTTACCCGCTAACCACACCACCACCACTCGGAGTGATGTTTCTAAATTGGAACATACCACCTGCTCTCTTGAAGGTACTTTTTTTTTTTTAGATTTATTTTAGAGAGAGAGAAAGAGAGAGCACATGAGAGGGGGGAGGGTCAGAGAGAGAAGCAGACTCGCCGCCGAGCGGGGAGCCCGATGCGGGACTCGATCCCGGGACTCCAGGATCATGACCTGAGCCGAAGGCAGTCGCTTAACCAACTGAGCCACCCAGGTGCCCTCTTGAAGGTACTTGATTTCACTTAAAAGCAGGTGCTCTCACTGATGACCTTGCTTCCCACGGCACTGAGAAAACGGATTCCACAAGAAGAGAGCTGGCCCAGGCCCCGTCCCCTCCCCCCACCGCAGGGCAGCTGTGTGCGGAGCCCCCCCTCCCCCCCAGTCCTGTCATCGCAAATGAACCATGTCTCTGCTCATGCAGGTACCACATCCCGCTCCCGCTGACCTAGGAAGGGAGCTGCTCCTGGAATTCTTCCTCTCCCTCCGGCAGCAGCCCTTCTTCCCTCACCCTGGGTCATCCCCGGCCTCATCACCCATAGGCTGTTAGTCCTTCCATTCTAAAGACAGAACTACTTCATCCTCCAGTGACCACCCCATTTCTTTGCTCCTCTTTATAGAAAAACTTCTCAGAGAGTAGCCGACGCTTCATCTATCAAATTCCTTACTCCAGTCAGAATTCACCACACCCACTACAGCAACATGGCTTTTGTCAAGGTCACTAACGACCTCCTCTTTGCTAAACTGGATTGTCCATTCTCGGGCCTTGCCTTCCTAAGGGATCCCAGCATCTGATCCGGCTGGTCATTTCCTCCATCCGCAACACTCGAGTGGCCTCTAGGATGACATACTCTCCTGGTTTCTCTTCTACTGTGCCAGTCCCTCGTTCTCCCTCTGTCTCCTTTGCTGGCTGCTCATCTTCTCATCTAGAATGACCATTTCACAGGTGATAAAACTGAGGACTAAAGATGCCCTGTGGCTCACCCAAGTTTATAAGATCAATACATTGTAGAGCTAGAATTTGTCCTCAGGTATGTTTGACTCCAAAACCTGTGAGACGAATCATAAGTCTACTGCCTTAATAACAGGTTCTGTAAGATCTTAAAAATTTCTCACTGAGTTTTTAGACGAGGAAGTGTCTCATATGGTTTCAAGTGGGCGTGATATACAAGTCTTTGGAGGGAAGGCACTGTACCAATCCAGAGTGGCTGTGTTTTTGTTTTGATGTTGTTTTCTTCTTTCCAAGTGCGAGGATGCTATAAAGTGCCACCAACCTAGCAGCCACCTTGTATAAATCAACATGCAGCGTTTAGATTAGCAATACAGAGGCCTGGAGAGCTCCTTACTCTTTTACCCATGAAGCACTGCCCAAGACAGTGGCTCCATACCATTTTATCCCACCAGGGGGCACACAAGAACCGTCATATGGGCAGAGCCTTGCCCCTTTGCCCACGTGGTGCCAGAGTGGAAGAATGGTCAAGTAATCTCGGACAGGGCAACAAGGGATTAGAAAAATCTTCATTTGTGCTCTGGGTCCGACACTTTCGGCTGTGGAATGTGAAATGCGATAATCTCCCCTCTCTGAGGCCCAGTTACCCAATCTGTAATAAGAGAAGGGGTTGGTATAGATCAGTGGTGCTCAACCTTGGAAACGATAGAACTTCCCACATGTAAAAGCTCTTTAAAAAAATACAAATGTCTAGGCCCACCTCAAGAAATAGTGATTTAATCAGTCTGGCGTGCAGCCTGATCATCTGAATATTTTAAATTTCTGCAGGTGATTCTGATGGTTAGCCAGGGTTGAAGACTTCTGGTCTGGAGCAGTACTAGGTTTGAGTCCCAGAACCACCACTTACTAGCTGAATGACCTGGTCAGGTTACTTAACCTCGCTGAGCCTCAGTGTATCAACTTGTAAAAACAGCTAACAGTGTCCGAATTGTAGGGTTCTTATAAGGATTAGAAATATCAAATCTAAAGTATCTGGTTTAAGGGCGCCTGGGAAGCTCAGTCGGATGAACATTTGCCTTCGGCTCAGGTCCCAGGACCCTGGGATCAAACCCCCACATTGGGCTCCCTGCTCAGCGGAAAGTCTGCTTCTCCCTCTCCCTTTGCTTATCCCCCTGCTTGTGCTCTCTCTCTGTCAAATAAATAAAATCTTTAAAAAATAAAGTATCTGGCTTTAATTAAGAACAGCATATTATTATGCCTCATGAGAGGAAAAGAATCATAGAAGTGCCATAGGATCCAGTAATTCCACTATTGGGTATTTACCCAGGGAAAACAAAAACACTAACTCAAAATATATGCAGCGCTATGTTTATTGTAGCATTATTAACAATAGCTATGGAAACTGTCCATCAGTAGATGAATGGATAAGGAAAATGTGGTGTATATATACAGAATAGAATATTACACAGCCATAAAAAAGGATGAAATCATGCCATTTGAGACAACATGGAAGGATCTAGAGGGTATTATGCTAAGTACAACAAGTCAGGCTGAGAAAGACCTATGATTCCACTCATAAATGGAATTAAAAAATAAGTAAACAAAAACCAGAATCAGAACTATAAATACAGAGAACAAACTGATGGTTGCTGGGGGTGGGGGTGGGCAAAATGGGTGAAGGGGAGGAGATATAGGCCTCCAGCTACCGAGTGCAGTTAAGGAATGCAGTCAATGACATTGTGATCGCGATGTAATGGGACAGATAGTAGCTTTACTTGTGAGCATAGCCTATGTATGAACTTGTCAAATCGCTATGCTGGACACCTGAAAATAATGTAACTGTGTGTCAACTATACGCAAAAAAAAAAAAGGATCAAATAACAATTTAGTCGACAAATACTCGGGTATATATAATGTGCTAGGAACCATTCTAAGTTCTGTATTCTTCTACAATCCCACTTAAGGGAAAGCTCAATATTTTCTCTCTATATAAGCAGGCTACCACTTGCTGTTTTATGGAGAAGGTTTTTTGGTTTTGTTTTTATTTCAACGGTGAGAAGGAGACTTTGAAGAGAGTATACTTTAAATACATTACCATGGCATCCAAGAGGTGCTCCTCTCCGATCTCCCTTAGCTGGCTGACAGGGTCCACCACAGTGTTGCTGAGGCAGGATCCCCCCAGCTGCTCCTAGCCGCTGACTGAGCTCAGCAGAGGTACTAGGTTTGGGCCATTTCTGCCCAGCATGGGAATCCCCTATTGGGCAGTCTTTGCTAGAGTATTCCTCTTTGACCAAACCAGGGCTTTCTGAGAACTGCCCAGTAGTTTGGGGGCTCTTCCAACCTTTTAAATATTAGACTTTGAGTTAGCAATTTTCCATGGGACAATTTACTCTTAAACCTTTCTAACACACTTAAAGATCTCAGACGTGGAATGTGAACTGCTTTTGAGAACTATTGTCAAATGTTTGAGTTCTGTTGCTCAGATGAACCTGCACTTTTTGCTTTCAATTTGATCCAGTGTCCACTGGCCAGGAATAACCTAACAGTGCCCGCGAGAAAGATGAGATAAGGACTCATTTCAAAGGGGGAGAGACCAAGCACAGCTGAAGATTTTATGGCTGAGTCAAGTTCCTTCCAATTCGAGAAAATTTTCTTAATCTTTGATTTAAACATTATAAAAATAATAGATGTACATTATGGAACATATAAAAAAGTGTGATGAGTAGAAAAACAACCACATCAGTACAACTGCTAGCCAGAAGTATATACTGTCAGCACTTTGATGCGTACTTTTCATTTAGTGCTTTAACTATACCATATGCATAGTTTTTTGTTTTTTGTTTTTTTTTAAGATTTTATTTTTTTATTTGCGAGAGAGAGAATGAGAGACAGAGAACGGGAAAACAAGCAGGGGGAGGGGGAGAGGGAGAAGCAGACTCCCTGCAGAGCAGGGAGCCCGATGCGGGACTCGATCCCGGGACTCCAGGATCATGACCTGAGCCGAAGGCAGTCGCTTAACCAACTGAGCCACCCAGGCGCCCCCCATATGCATAGTTTTCTATGCTCATTTTTCACATACGATGTGAGTATTTTCATCTTTCATTAAAACATTTTTGTAGCATAAATCCTTTTTAGAAATTTTAATTCCAGTATAGTTAACATACAGTGTTATATTAATTTCAGGTGTACAATGTAGTGATTCAACAATTCTATGCATTACTTAGTGCTCATCATGACAAGTGTACTCTTATTCTCTTTCATCTATTTCATCCATTCCCCCCACCCTCTTCCCCTGTGGGAACCATCTGTTCTCTATAGTTAAGAGTCTGTTTCTTGGTTTGACTCTTTCCCCCCCTTTGTTTACTGTTTGATTTCTTAAATTTCACGTATGAGTGAAACCATACGGTATTTATCTTTCCCTGACTTATTTCGCTTAGCCTTATACTCTCTAGATTCATCCATGTTGTTGAAAATGGCAAGATTTCATTCTTTTTTATGGCTGGGTAATATCCTATTATATAGTTATACCAAATCTTCTTTATCCATTCATCTACCAATGGACACTTGGGTTGCTTCCACAGGTTGGCTAGCTTAATGCCGCAGTGAGCATAGGGATGCATGTATCCTTTCAAACTAGTGTTTTCTTATTCTTTGGGTAAATACCCAGTAGTGCAATTACTGGACCATAGGATAGTTCTATTTTTAATTTTTTGAGGGATTTCCACACTGTTTTCCACAGTGGCTGCCCCAGTTTGCATTCCCCCCAACAATGCATGAGGGTTCCTTTTTCTCCACATCCTTGCCAACTCTTGTTGTTTTCAAAATAAGACCAAGGTTTATCCCAGGAATGCACAGAAGCTTGAACACAAGACAATCTATCAATATCATTCACCAAGGAGCAGATTAAAAGAGGCAATCCACATGATCCCTGCAATAGGTTCGACCA